TAAAGACCTAAAGAACTTTTTTAATTTTAAGATTTATTTTAATTTTAAAATACACAAGATAGAATTGATAAAATAAACCGAAACAACTCCAAATTGCAGAGCAATTGAAAACATCCTAATTTACTCTTTCAATGGTAACTAAAATGTGATAATGTCTGGAAAAATTGAGATTTTGCAGCTTTGCTTTTTTGAAGCATAAAAAAAAAGTTACAAAAAAAAAAAACGTTTTTGTTCATCAACATAAAAAGGCTTTTGGTCCATTTCCTCACAATGGTAGGTAAATAAATAAGGAGGAGGACGGTTCATTCACAGCAGACGTGTACAAGTAAACCTACTTTGTTAAAGTAAGTTTTTTAGGGATCTGTACTTTACTGAGTGTTTTTTGTTTTTGCTTTAGTCAGCACTTCTATTCTTTATTATTAGAGATTTACCTAAAAATCAGAGACATCACTACTTATTAGATATTAAAACATGACCCGAATTTATCATGAAAGGATTTGCTTATGTTAAATCAGGATATGAACAGAACTGCAGGTCGTTTCTACTGCTCCACACAACTGGTCTGTGGTGACCTAAATTTTTTTTTTTCCCCAGCAAGGCACTCCTTGGTTTTTAAATAAGACAGAGTCATGTTTTGTTTTAAAATGTATCCTCATAACAGGTAAAATTAGGTCACGGTGAGATATGACGACCTGCAAACATTAAAACATTTTAATTTTCTTTCATTCAGATCAGATCCCCTTGGATGATAGTTTTTAGAAGTAATCTGTGTCCTTTCTCACCTTTTTATTAGACTTTAGGGGAGAAAAAGAAAAAAAATCAATAAATCGCATTTGGTAGGAAAAAAAAGAATCTGAGAATTTTAAGTATTTCTGTAGACATCTAGTCTTGTTAGGCGATCAGGATAGAGGTCTGGGAGAGGGGCATGTTTATACTATATATCAGGCATCTCTAAAGTCAGTCCTCGAGGGCCGCTGTCCTGCAGGTTTTAGAGGTTTCTCAGCGTTAACACAGCTGATTCTGATGATTGCAGTTCATCAAAAGCCTGTTAATCAGCTATCAATGGAAATCAGCTGTGCTGGAGCAGGGAAACCTCTAAAACCTGCAGGACAGCGGACCTTGAGGACTGACTTTGATGCCTGCTATATATGGTTTAAATCCCTTAATATTCATCTTATATATATTAACAAAGATGCTGATAACTGCAGATGTCCACTGCTATTTACCCAGTTGCATTGTCCCTTTTTTTTTTTTTTTTTTTTTTTTTTTTTACCTGCTCTGGAAAAGTTTGCTTCCACCACAATGTTTATTATGCTGTTTTGTTTAATCTATTCAGTAAACTGCTGTGTTTCCCCCTCCTTCTAACCTTAACTTTTTTAATGATTTACCAGAATATTTTCATTAACTGTCGCCTCAGTTGAACCGCCTCAGATTAAAAGCAGCCAGAAACAGAGGCGTAGCCAGAATTTTTTTATAAGGGTGGCCAGGCAATAACCAATGCACACTGAGGGGGGGCCGAAAGCAGATAAGCACCAGAACTTCAGGGTCAATCTACACTGTTCCAACAGAAATATTAACAGGCAAAACATCCAAATTTTCTAAATAAAGACAAACTATACTTTCCTACAGCCTTTGCTAACAAATAGACGCATATATTTAAACATCTGTAATTTCTAGATAAAAGGTATAGTGGATAAAACACAGTTTTGTTTTGAGTTCTGGGTGTAAATATTTTCCATTGTCATTACAGATCTACTTGTATCAATAAACATTCTGCATAAAATTTATATTTACAAGCACCAACATCTACATAAATTGATTATTTCATAAGTTTTTATTAAAATTGTTATTTATCTTTGATTTCAATGTGTATAATTAACCACAAAAAATTCAAATGTTTTGAATATTCCACTTAAGAGTATTACTGTTTCCACCATCTGTATGAGAGGGGGGAAAAAATGGTAGGAGTAGCCACAGATTGCCTAAGGGTGGCCATGGCAGACCCTGGCCCCCCATCTAGCTCCGCCCCTGGCCAGAAACCAAAACAAACACGTGAAAACGCGCAAAAGGTGTTAATGGTAGGGTCAAATCTCCCTTTGTTTACCTTGTTTAGCAACAATAAGCTAAATAAATGGAATTTGTGGAATGTATAAATATAATAACTTGATTTAAATTACTTAAAACAAAAAAAAAAAAACATTAATTTTGAATTAAGGCCAATTTAGAGGATAAACTGTTGCTAAATTTCAGACTGCAGCATTTGTTACACAGGTTGACCTACTGGTGCTTAGAGCCTTGGATTTAAATCTAATTAAATAAAAAAAAAAAAAAATCACCTTTTTTCTTTTTTTGGTGGGGATGTTTGACGTTAGCCTCTGAGTTTTCCTTCTTCAGCTTCAGCTTCGGTTCCTGCTCCCGGTGCGGCTCTTTGCGCTCGTGCTGCGGGGCCTTCACCACTTTGAGGGGCGTGAAAGTGAAGAGCGCAGGTGGCTGAGGGACCACGGATCGCTTCTGCGAGGGGAAAGCGGGCAGCAGGCTCTTCTTGGCGCCGTTAGTCAGACCATGGTGGTGCTGGTGGACGTGCAGGACGTGTTTGTCCAAGCTGAACACCTGGGCTTTGGGCTTCTGCTGCAGCTGGTGGTGACTCCTGTTCTCAGCGTGTTGCTGGACGCACTGCTGCTGACTGGGATTATGATGATGGAGCTTCACCTTTTTGGGTTCTTTTTCGCATCTTTCTCTTTTATCGGTTGGCGGAGACAAATCCCTTTTCTTTTTCTTCTTCTTCTCTTTGATGAATCTCTCAAAGCTGTCCCTGATCCGGTCGTCGTTGGCTTTCGTTCGGAGCAGGTCGACTTGAGCTGCCATATTTGCACGTACAGTGTCTTTAAATGGCTCGGCGATCGGAGTGCGCATGTCCGCGTTCATTTGTAGTTTTTCTGGCCGACTATTTGTAGTCCGCGTCAACGCTTTGCTGATATTGCGCATGCATCCAGCTTGCATTGTGGGAGTGTAGTTCGTAGTTTCTCGGGACTTGAAGTTCAACTCACATTGACTGCGTGCGGAGCCGCACGCACTCAACTCCGTCTGGCTGACGTCATGGTTAACGTCATCACCCACTAGAGGGCGCGATTTCTCTTCCACGGAATGCATCAGACGAAAAAAATAAAATAAATAAAATTATGAAAAAAAAGTGGGTTTAAAAAAAGATAAAACTGAACAATAAAATAGTTTATATAGCAAATTACTTCAATTACATTTGAATGAATATATATATATATATATATATATTTTTATTTATTTTTTATTTTTTTGCAAGACTGTACTTTTAAAAAGATGAAATTGTCCAGAGAGCTGTTCCAAACGAAATTTCTTTCTATTTTACACTTGTATAAACAATATGACAAAATCTGTCTAAGTCTAAAAATAAAAGATTAAAAAATTACTATCACAATTTACTCCTTTTCATTGAACTGCATCAAAGCCTCAGTACTACATCCCTTCCACATGTGGTTGTAATTACCACAATAACATTATATAGAAACCTCTGTTTTTTAAATACTATATTCCCAAAGGTGTGTTAAAGATAGGCTCTATGTACGTACCTTGACACTCTATTTCTCTGGTTCTTTTCCCTGAAAAGAGATTACTTAGGACAAACCCTTTAAACTTCATACTTCATATCTTGTATTAAATAACCAGGAGAACTGATAATAGATTCTAATAGAATCAGAGAAATTGCTTAGAGTTTACAGAAGGCAGCTGCTCACCTCTGGGCTCACCTCTCAGGAAGTGGCCCCGATAACAGTTAAAAAGGCATTTTATACATCTCTGGTCTGCCACGTCATCTTATTTTATATCATACACATAAGCAGATGATTAGACATCCATGGCTCCAGCCTTAACAAAATATTACACTTTGTTCTTAGCTGAAGGACTCCGCTCTCATTCTATTTCCAAATCTATGCCACGTACAAAATGAAGATTAGAACTGCATATCCAAACAGAGGAACTGTCTTAATTAGATTAACTATTGTGGAAAACATTGGGCACCAAGGTGAAATAAACTCACACATCAATGATAATTATCCTAACAGGTGTGTTTTGTTTATTAGAAGTTATGCAGCAGATCTCTGACATTTTCCTTTTACTTGGTTTTCTCCATTCTCAGCTATTGCAATGTTATTTGTCAGCTAAGCCAGAACAAGTACTTTTGCTTATCGTTTTTGGCCTTGGAGACCCTGATAATAATTGCTCCCCTTTGTTTGGTTAAAACTTAATGATGTTACGCTTTTATATGCTGTGCCTGTTTCACTTGGCAGTTTTGAGTTCATTGGTAGCTAAATATCTTATATTTTTGTATTATATTACATATCCCTGTTTCATTCAAAGGGTTGGTACACCTATTATACTCACTCTTTGATATTCAATTCAAACCTCCTACCTAAAAGTTATTGAGCAAACATATTACATTTGCTTCACTGGGGCTATTCTGATAAATCATTTTATTATGAATAAGAAGTTTAAGCCTCACAAAGACTTGCTTATTACTGATGATTCCGTTTTTTATCTTTTTGATCTTGTTTGGGTCAGTTAATACTACTCAAAACAAGATATTTGAGATCCTGATCAAACAAAAATAATTTAAATTTCTAAAAATTATTATGCAATCCCTGGTGAGTAAGGAGTTAAGCTATCCTAAAATGGGTTTGAAAAAAAAAAATCTAAAAAGTTAAAAAAAATTAAACAAAAAATTATTTCAAACGAAGATAAATAATTAAAAACCAGAGAATAAAAATGCAATAATTAATTACATGTTTTAAAAGTTCTACTTGTTTCTTAAAGATTAGTTTATTCATCAGGAAACCAGACTTCTCTGAACTTGAGCATCCTCCTCTATGTTATGTTTTCTGGAATATATTAATAGATGTAAACTGCATGCATGTAAACTGTCTCACTTACATTGATAAACACAGAATGAGAGAAAAAAAATACATAAATTCTTATATTTAATCAGTAAACCTTTATTTATCAGTGCATGAACAGTATGCCATGATAATTTTTTTTTCCACCCATTGCATAACATTTCCTCTCAGCTCCCTTAAAAAAATAATGGATAACAATTTACATAGATTTTCTTTCTTCATGAAGGCAATCATTTTATACATGTGCTGTACAATTTATAAACATTTACAACTACAATGATGTCAAAACTATGTCTTTTAAATATGTTGGAGCAAACGCAAGGCCACGGCATCAGACATGGTAAAGATATGAACAGTTAAAAACGACAGTAGCCCATCATATCAACATGAAAACAGACAATAAATTATCCAGCGGCCTCGCAGACAAACAGATGCGTGTATTACTTCTTCATATGCTTATGCAGGCAGGCGGGTTAGGGTTAAAGCTATGACTTGCTTGTGCAGAGCAGAGGTTTCAGCACTAGATGTCGCTCTAGTCCACAGTAAGAACACAGAAAGGCTACATTTTCTCTTCAGAGCAGTCAGATGCTTTCCTGATTGCTTTTTAAACGCCAAACTTAAATCCCAATTTAAACAGCATTAAGCAGAACCTCCCATCAGCCTACTGAAGAAGAGGAGCAGAGGGTTTTCTCATGATCTACAGAGGCGTCTGCAATCACAAGCAGCTTTCATGTCAAAACTTAAAGAGGGTCTGGCTTTGTGTAAAACAAACACAAACATGTTGCAGTGACAAACTACAGCAAAGTACAGGACCAGGCACAGTGACTGGCAGTTCTGGAAAAAAAAAGATGTGTAAAAAGCCTTAAAACATGTAAATATAAACCTCCAAAAGACTATTTTAACCTCAAATGTATTTATTCTAACATTAGTGAAATGCTGCAACTGAGCCAAACCTAAACACCCAAACTTGATGCATTTTTTAGGAGGAATACTTCCCCCACTAAAAATATTCAAAAATCAAAGGTTGCATTTTTATAAACATCTCAGCGGATTATACCCCTGCAATAAAACATTTATTATTTTATCGCTTTTTACACATCATCAACACAAGTGCGAACGCATGCGTCTGGTTCTGTACTTCATAAACATTTGAACTAAAGGTTCCCTCTTTTTATGTGTGCCTATATTCACGAGATAAATATATATTTCTAAATATTTCATACAAATTAAAAAGAAAAGTTTGCATTTTTATCAATTGTAAAGCTTCGCTAATTAATTTCTTCTAAATAGGATCAATATTTGAGGAATTGGTTTGCTAAATAATTAATTGATACGTATTTTTGAGCCTAAAGGAATAAATAAAATGCATTATCAACATGATGCATGAGACCATGATGTAAAGGAGGATTCACATAAATGGTGTAGAGTTTCTACATGCTCGGCCTCCACGCAGACATGTATGGGCGCTCTTGTTTTGCTTTTAATTTCTCACATTATTTTCACAACACAAATACAAAAACATTAGATCTATAACCACAAGTATCTGGTCTGCTCATTGATGCATATAAAGCTTCAGAGTGTTCCTCCCACCTACATGGGATTCATGACTTCACATATTCGGATGCAGTCACACGAATCACAGCTTTTATCGGATATTTCTTCTTTTTAATCATAAAAAATAAACATTGTTTTTCCCTCAGGTCGTTTGAAGAAACAGTGGTCCCTTTAGAGACGATAACAGTGAGTAAATCTTGCTTGGTTTTAAAACTTAGCGAGTGCATGAGTATGCTTGTAATCCTTCAAAGTAAACACAAACTAAAAAAAAAAACAGTTTTCTTCTTGTGGCTCGGTTAGACGGGATGAGCACTTCATTTAGACACCTTCAAACCGATTCACAGTGAGTGCTATCAGGAGCAGCTTCATTTTAACTAGAGTCTCTGATTGGCACAGAATAGATTTCCTTCTGAACTCCCGGCTCAGATCTCATCTCACATGAGCATGCAGCAGGGTTTGGTACAAATACTCCGTCTGAGGCAAACCGGGTGAACAAACAAAAAATAGAAAGTTAATGAGAAGGTATGTGCTGGTTAAACGTCGATCCGCTCTCTCCAGCCCGTTCATAAAGGCTCAGCTTTGTCTTCATTCATGATGAGTCCACGTGGGACTGGATCTTGGCCGAGCTGGGAACCTTCCATGGGCCGGGGGTGATGGGGGCCTTCTTGCTGGTGCTGGTCCCGTTGCAGTTGGGATCCTGGATGCTACTGCTGGAACCTCTGGGGTCCCTTCTGTTCACTTGCTCAGCTGACCCCTGATACTTGGCCTCTGGGTATTCCTTGTCGGCTCTCTCTCTTCCGCTCCTGTGGCTGGCTGTGGTCGGATCGGCCTCCGAACCCGCTCTGTCCCAGTGGGGTTTCTGAGCCGCTGCCTCTTTCTCAGCCCTCTTTCCCTTCCGGTGGCGCTCGCCGGTGCCCCAGCCTTTGTCTCCACTCTCTGCAGCCCCTCTCTCCTGCTGGTAAGCTGCATCCTCCTCTTTATGTCTCCAGTCTTTCACTTCCCCGGCTGGCTGTTGTCCAGTGGGACGTCTGGGGCTCTGAGGTTCTTCTGGGTTCCTGGAAAGGACAGGATCGTGCTCCCTCTGGGAGCCCTTCCGTGGGCTAGCAGAGCGCAGGTCTCTCTGCCCTTGGGTTTTCCTTTCCCTGTTTTCCGATGTTTTTTGGGGGCTCTGGGACGGCTCCATGTGATCCATCTGAGCTTCTGCTGCTCTTCTGGGACTGCTAGGTATGAAGTCGCTCTGGCCAGTTTTCCTGGGGCTAGAAGCACGCTTATGGTTGTGTGTAGGGTGCTGCTGTCCCCTTGATCGGTTAGCTTGTGTACCGTGGTCCTGTCCAGCACCGGGGAAACTAGGCACTCTGTAATCCCCTGCTGATGGTTCTTCAAGGGTGAATGCTTTGGAGGAAGAAGGTGACCATCCTGAGTTAGAGGATGGAGAAGCTGGAGATGACTGGTCATCAGATGCAGAGAGTCTGGGAAAGCTCGTCTTCGGAAGGGCTACTTTTTCTTTTGAACCTGGAAAAAAAATAAAGACAACAAATAAACATATTTCTGCAAAGTATCCGGTGGATCTTAACAGTCTAGACACCCCACTTAAAATGTCTTTAAAATGAGTTTAGGTAGAAGGATTTCAACCTTTCCCATATTTATAGGAGACATATCTTGTACAATACAAATGTAAACAACATCTACAAGACAAAAAAATACACTTTTGCACCATGGAATTAAAGACTTGCGTTTGAAGATGAATACATATAAAAATATACCAATACTTGGAGACACAATGAAACCAGAAATGCAGGTTTTTTTAGGTGTAATGACAGATGATCTCAACGTTTAAAGGACAAAGGGGGGAGCTTATAATCCTGAGAACAACCTGCTAACTGTGCAGCAACATCCTATTGCCTGGATTCCACTCCTATAAAAGATGAGATCATGAGTTTCTAAAGCCATAAATCTATGAAATCCTGGTATAATTTGATGTAAGACAGCCAAACAAAGGGATTTTAGTCTTTTTAAATTATCTGTGGGGATTTCTGCTTTTAATTTTAAATAAAACATGATAAAGAGAAAGTTTTTTCTACATGGTAGCATCCTTTATATGTCTGTATTAAAGAGCAGGATTTAATACAGAAGCATTTAATTTACATTTAAAAATGTAATCTAGGGCTGAAACAATCGGATTAATTGATTATTGAAATAATTGTCATCTATTTCAGTAACTGATGAATCGTTAACTGGAGTATAGAGAGTCTAAAACATGCCTTTAGCTGACAGAGCGACCCACTTAGAGCTGTAATTATAAGAAAATTGTGAAAAAACATTTAACAATTTTGCATTTAAGATAAAAAAACAAAACAAAACAAAAACGCTTTCTTTTGTCAATATGCTCTACTCAGAACTCCTCAAGTGGAAATGTTTTAGTTTCAACTGGTTTAATTTCATAAAAAAATCTTCTTTAAGGAACCTTTGGCTATTATAATAATCAACAGATTCATCAATTTGCAAAATATTTGGTAGTTGCAGCCCTAATTTAATCCTAGTTAACATTTTTTTTTTAACTTTTTTTTTTCGATAAATGTAATATGTTCCAATTTTTGTAATTATTAAAAATAAGTGGTGGTGGCAGAGTCATGCTGTGGGGTTTCTACCTTTAGACTGAACGTGCATATAATATATCTGATTGATTAGCTGCAAGACCAATTAAGGTGCTACATGCTAATAGGCTACTAATGTAGACTGGGTGCTGTTCTTAGTTTAGGGTTGTGCAAAATAATATGATATCAGGTCGTTCAGTTGAAATCCTAGACAGTTTAACAGGGGTGTGCAAACTGTTAAAACACACACTAAAATTATTGCAGGGATTCAAAAACGATGTCCAAACTGAAACCTCTCCACGTTCTGTTAAGTCACCAAAAAATGAGGGCAAATAAAAACATCATGCAACAGAGGCATCATACAGACAGGCTTTCTGCAACATCCCTGTGCAATCTCCATCTAAATATTTGCCTTGCTTCAGATATGCATCAGCTGGAAGGGTGCTAGGGTTCAGCCGGGACTGACGTTTCAATTTTCCGCCGAGCAGATAAGAAGCGCAGAGCCGTGGCTTAGAGCAGATATAGGCAGCAAAAAAAAAAAAAGAAAAACGTGAGGAGGGGAGAAGACGAGTGATGGATCTAGCTGTGCTGAAATTAGCTTTTTGGATTTCTTGGGGCGTCAACTTATAGAAATGAATTCTCCTTTTGTCTTGTAATCAAAAGGTTGATGCCAGTGAATGCACACATACTTTTATCACCTGCCGCACATTGATCAATATCATATTAAGGATTTCTCCACAGTTTTTCTGCTTTTACAATAGAGGACGGGGTGTACGTTCAGTGGCATTGTGGTTACGTTCTTTTTATTTATTTCTCTAGGTCACTGCTTTAAAATAAACCAGCCAGAGAACATATTGCTTACCGTACAGCATCTGCTACCAAGTTACTGATTCTTTGCTGGGTAAATGTTTTATATCTCTTCCCTTTTCCACATTTGTTCATTTAGTATATTATTACTGTGGACCCTGGATATCCCCTTGTGACCAAGATGATGTGTAGTGTTGGCTTTTCTGTCACAGGAGTAATTTTGAGCATCAATAAAGTCTCTATTTGTCCCCCTGGGAGAGATCTGTCATGGAAAGGCTGCACAGAAAGATTGCAATCTTCCATTGTATCAAAAATATAGAGCCAAGGGGTGCAAACGGCATGCAAATACATGCTTTCACTGCAAATCCAAAAGGTCCTGCAAACTCTAAAATGAGACTAACACACAAAGAGATAAAACACATGGAAAGGGAAATGCTCTAAGTATTGAAAATAATTGGAGGTTAAGAGAGGCTGCAATCATAGAAAAATAGAGAGTGGCAAAGTGGAACTACTCTACAAATACAGAACCCATGTTACATGATGTTAACATAGAAAGACATTAAACACATGGAAGGAAAAAATGCTGCAAGTAGCAAAAAAATAAAAAATACAAAGCTGTAAGTTTAAAAAAACAACAAAAAAAACTACAAACTGGTACCCAATATCAGAAAAGCTCCAGATCATGGTTGGCAGCAATCAGCAAATTATACGGGACCAAATTAAAATATAAATACAGATATTTGTGCACGAGTTCCCTAGCAAAAACATAAATCGGATGCCGTCCAGAGAACATCTACAGGGCAGACAGTAGAGGTCAGTTTTCCTCTTAATCTTTTTTAAAAACTTAATCATCATCCTATTTACTCCTTTACTAAGGTTCTGGTCCCCTATGAGTCGTTAATCGTCTCCCCCTAGTGGTCTGGAGCACTTTCCTAACAGGTTTTTTCCTTTTGCAGCATTTTTCCTTCACATCTTTTTTTGTCTTTTAGCATGTATTTGCAGCATGTTTACACTTTGCAACTCTCTTTTTCTTGATTTTAGCTTTTCTCCTTATAAGCTTTTTTTATTTGCATGTGTTTTTGCGTTAGTTTCTTTTGAACTTGCTCTGAAATTATGTATATACACGGTGATGGTACCCCGCAAGCACCGTCCAAGCGACATTTGCGGTGCCCTTGGTTAGAGGCACACTGTAAACAGAGCATCTGTGGACCGTCTTTTACAAATAGCTTTTTTTCCTTAAAGCCTTCCACAAATCCCAGGATCTGATGGCTACCTAACCAATAGTCAAAATAATCTGAAAAGTATCTTTCTTCCACTCCTCCAGAATCAATAAACATCTGTATTCCTTCCTTGATTGTTTCTCTCCTTACTCGGTGTTGGTTTAGCTACGCAGTTATGTCTTCATAGGTTTTGCAGGTTTTTAGGCAGGATTTTTATCAACAACCCTACTTTATATTTCTCTACAGCTTTATACAGCTCCAGTGTGATGTGTTCCTTGATCATTATGATAGTGTTTGCTCAGTAAAGTGCAACGAGGCATTCAAAGAATAGCAATATTTAAACTAGAACTGTATTTCACCTAGGGGAGGTCTACCTACCAATCAGTTGACTGCTGTAAGGAAATGTTTCTGTTGATATAAATTATTAGGATAATGGAGGAAAAGGCCAGAATGCCAAATTATGAAGAATTTCTTAGTCCTTTTGTGTTGTTCTTTAAAATAAAAATCATGGGTCTGAACAGAAGCATTCAATGGGTATCTATACTTTTTTGGGATACTGTAACCATTTCAGCCAAGATAAGTTAGCATTGAAGATCTGAGATTTAAAACTTAAAGGCAAAGAAGTTTTACCAAGCGTACGAGAGACAGACCGAGAAAAGCAGTGAGGCCTTTAGTGATGTTCTGGTTTCATGTAGAAGCACAGGGTGGAAGAAGAGTTCGAACCTATAGAAGGAAGAGATAAAAAGGTAGAAATAGACAGCCGTGCTAGAGCAGAAACACAAAGAAAGCAAGGAGGATAAACAGCACAACAGGCAGCCTGAGTTAAAAGTTGTGAATGAGAATGAGACGAGAGAAAGGCTAAAGAGAGAAATCTGAAACTCATGCATCAGGATGCAGCTGCTTTCCAAACCAATCCATCTACATGTGAGTGGTTAATATGCTGCTGAGCTGATCTCTGTGAAGCTGGACGGATGGACGGACTCACTGTGATCCGGGACGAGGCCCTGGCCGGGTCGGAGGAGCAGGTGAACCTTGTTGCCTCCTGCCTGGATGAGCTCGATCGCCCGCGTGTGGGTGATGCCCTGAGTGGCCTCACCATTGATCTCCACGATCTGATCCCCGACCTGAAATCCAAAGACTTTTAGTTTATAGGCACAGTTTACAGAGCATGGCAGCATAGAGCGGAGGAAGAGGCATGAGGTCAAAGAGACACCTGAATCCATCCAGCACTTTGTTGCTCCACATGTTGGGAGCATTGGTGAGTAATAATGATAATTTATTATTTTCTAATGCAAATTAGGATTTTTAAATTCTAGAGTGCTTCAGAATGACATGAAAACATAAGATGAGATTATGTAAAGGGAAAAGAAGTGGGGCCAAGGACTGAGCCCTGAAGGACACCACAGTTAACTGTCTTCCCTGGCTTTCCCAGTGGTAAAATAGTCTAATCTCAGATTAATTTTTAATAAAGTATGTTTGAACTGAATTGAATAGGATTGCTACCAATCTAAGGTATTGCTCCTATTCAATGCCAATTCAATTTTTTAAAGGAGCAATAATTTTATATAATTTTCTGGGGTTTTAATAATGTTTTGGATAAAAATAACTGAAAAGCAGTGATGAGAATGGAATATAGTGTCACACACAATTTCTCTGTGCTACTCTTCAGCCTACAAGCTGGAATGGCTACACATGTGAAAAGCTCCCACTCACGGCTTAGCCCCCTCTCCGCCCAAATAGAGCATTGTAGCGTAGGAGCAAAATGGCAGAGATCGCATTCACCTCATCAAAACAATCACCTGAATATGAACATTCGCCAACATACGTGTTTTTTAAATTCACACACAAGGCAAAGGCTGAGAAGGTTCTGGGCAGTGGAGGTAGAGAGAGGCATCACTTGTTACACATCTTGTTTTGGTCAACAGACAGTGCTCATCAAGCCACCTAGTGGTGAAATTTAACTAATTGCTCTTTTCAGGGTCCGACCGTATTTTTTCTAATTTGGAGACTTTAATGATTGTTTTTAGACCCAAACATTTAAACTGTTCTACCAGAAGGACGGGACACAGAATCCTAGAGATGTGGAACTGCAAACAACATAAGAAAACTATTAACAATTTTACTATAGCCAGAGTTGATTAGAATTAAACTTTGCATAGTATTATTATGGATAAATATAGATGATAGATGGATGGAGAAATAAATGAGGTTGATTGAAAAAAAAAAAAAAAAGACTGATTCACTGATAGACTAGTGGACGGACTCATGGATTCCTAGGGACAAGTGGATGGAAAGTCAGACAGATGGATGCATGGATGGAGTGACAGATAAATGGTCAACTCACATGTATACGTCCATCTCTAAGAGCAGGCCCCTCCTCAGCCAGGCGCAGGATGTAAAGCCCCATGTTGTACTCCTTTCCTCCTCTCAGACTGAAGCCGAAGCCCCGCTGACTGCGCTCCAGTTCCACCACAAAGCAACCCTGTTTCCAAAAAACAAAAGAAAGGGAATGTAAGGTAAGGAGTCATTTTAACAAGATCCATCCAAAGCTTCCAAATTATATGTTATATAGTTAATAAGCTCATTTTTTGAGGGGTGATTTTTACTTATTTTTACCTGTTTGGGTCCTGATGAGATTGTTCCCGTCTCAGTCGGCTGAAAAGAGTTCTTGATCTCAGCCTCACCAGTCCTACACAGAAAGGACAACAAACAGGTTATAATAAAGCCTGATATACAAGAGAGTCTATAAGATAGACTGTGTTGATATCTTCACGCAGCCATGTTTTGATTATAGCAGTGTAGCCTCTCTCTGTTGCTTTCATTCCAGCGTGTACTGAGAACTGTAAATCCTTCAAAGGGCTGTGTTGCTTTTACATTTCAGTGACAGATAACAGCGGCACGCTTTAATGCTTCGAAGAGCTCATTACAACGCCTTAGTGGGAACTTAGCTGTGCTGACATACCATCTGAGGAGTCGAGAAATTCTCTGCACTGAGGAGAGTTTGCTCACTTCGTGCTGCCAAGCCGAAGCCGGCGGTCGCTGCTCATATCTGAGGCCGAGCCGACCCCAGGAGCGTGCTGGTGATTAAAAAGGGGTGAATGCGGAAAGCTGTGATGTCTGAATGTAGTCACTGAAAATAGACCGATGCTTCTGGCACAGGAAATCTTGCGTGAAGAAAACTCAAAAAGGAAGCAGGCCTCTTCATTAATCCTTTGGCTTTTGCTCACCTCCGTCCAAAGGGAGACCACAGGGGGATTTTCTGTGCTCTTTGGTAACAAGGAGTGTGCAGGCCACAGGAGATGATAATGGGCCCCACGGCAGTGCAGAGCCAGAGGAGCTCTGTGACTATGGGAGGTTATTTGTGATTTCATGTGGAAGAACCTGCAGTGGACCGTCTCAAAGTGTGGGCGTATGAACAGTTGGGTTGCTCGAACGATTCTGTTGCTGAATATTGGCCTAGTTGTTACAACGAACTCCTCTTTCTTTGTACAGATAATGAATATATTTCAGGATTATATTGAGTATATTTGCTTTCACACTGCATACTTTCTCATCCTCTCCCATTAAAATCATATAAAAGCTTTAATTTTTACAGCTCAGATAGGCTTTATAAAGATTATTCAGATTTATAAATGCAGTTTGAGGGTTTTCAAGTTGAACATACTTATTAAAGCATACAGTCACAGTTTTAATATGAACAAAAACAATCAATCAATTCCCCAGTGGATGAAAGGAATTTATACAAGATGACAGAAGCCATCAACGTCTGGAAAAAAAAAATGCTGGCAGATTTTGCCAGAAAACTTTACAATAACCTGAGGTGGATTATTTTTGTTAGAAATTAACTATGCTATGCCAGCAGATAAAAGAAAATAGAAAAAAGAGCAATTGAAGTAGGAATAAAAATAATAAAAACAAAACAGAAAAATGCCAATGACTAGTGCTGATATGCTAAATCAGCGTGTACATATATGGCTGGACTGGGTTGGACAATAAGTATTTATCAAAATAGATCTCAATATCATTCTATTAAAAAACAATCATATGAAATATCCATTATGTCAATGTATTATATAGCTTATGATTACAGCTCTTATCCCTAACTAATGTTGGCTGTTTTATGTGTTTTGTTTTATAAAGCAAATGATATTATTTTATAAATGTTGGTAAATGATGGCTGCTCACCCTGAGCCTGGTTCTGCTGGAGGTTTCTTCCTGTTAAAAGGGGGTTTTTCCTCTCCACTGTCGCTACAAGCATGCTTAGTGTGAGGGATTGCATTTTAGTCAATGAGTCGATGCAATCAACTGGTTTTCCTTAGATAAAATGAATCACTGGTTTGTGAAGGAATCTGTTGTAGACCTTCTTGGCAGTCTTTCTGGGGCTTTTAATTTTATTTATATTGATATTGAAATGCGATGGTATCAACCAATCCAAACTGATTTAGGTAAAGTGCTCACTATTGGATGAATAGATAGTGGCCTCTGACAAGGAAATAAAGAGAAAAACTCGAAAGACTACTTTTTTTTTTTTCCCTAGACACTTAACCAGACCTGGAATACATGTCAGTAAAATTCCGTCCTTTTGGAAGCAGCAAGCTAACCTTGCCTCCGGTATCTGTGGGTTACTTCATGTGTAACACACAGAGCCTGATCATTAATTTTGAATTATACTACCTAAATTATTTTTTTTTAAAAAAGGTTATGGCTGACTAGAAATCACTTTACAGAAATGAAATGTTGGTATTTAAGTATTTAAAAGTGGCAAAATGCAAAATCTTATACATGTTTAAAATATGAAAAAAGCTTCTTAATTACAGTATTAGCACTTGATCTTTGATAAAGTCATTTGTTTAGTGCTGTATGTTTTACTGTACCTGTCTAGATGACTGGGAAGCTGTTGGCCCATAGCTCTATGCATGGCTGAAGGACTGTGCTTTACTGAGTTGGTTCCAGATGGAGGAGCACCGTCTGTACGGACAGAGGAGGCACGAACATTGCTGTTAAAAACGGGACGCTCTCCTGAATGATAGGTGGAGAAACCAGAGTCAGGCTTCCTTACCGTCTTCAGGCACGACAGTCAGGGTAACCGTGTTGCCGGCTTCCTTTATGAGCTGGACAATATCATTATGCGACAGCTCCATGATGGACTGTCCGTTAACAGCAGAGATGCGGTCCCCGACATTCATGCGGCCTATGCGGTCTGTCGGGCTGCCTTCGATAATACGACCGATTTTGTGAGGTATGACTGCAAAAAGCATAAAGGAAAGAGAAATTAAGACTTTAACGACATTTCTACACCAAGAATTCAGTGAAGTTCCTCTGAAGAGAAATTAAATTGCAAAAAGATTTAATCAATGTCATCCAGCCAGGTTTATGTACTGAGACATCTCTTGTCAAGGTGTTCAATGAAATCAACAAAGCAGCTTTCAACGCTGTTGATCCATGGTTTGAATCCTACTTGAAAAACAGGGACTATTTTGTCTTAGTAGGTAACTTCATATCAGAGACAACAATAATAAAATATGGGGTTCCTCAAGGCTCCACCTTGTGGTCTCTTCTATTCAATATCAAAATGCTCTACATACCTCAGATAATAACAGACAAAAAGTCACTAAAACTACCCTGAAGACATACTGCTTCTCTACAATTATTCCTGGTTACTATAAACCCAAATCAAGTGCTGGTAAAGGAATCAGTGTTGATATGCCATAATTGTCTTTAGCTGAAATGATGTGAATTGGGATTGCCAACTTATATAAATAGATAAGAAATGGATCTGTGTGTACTGTTAGGTGTCTTTGGTGCAAACCTTTGTTTTAAAAATCAATTGAATATGAGTGCTTTAAACTCCTTAACACCTCCTGATCCAGAGGATCGGCTGTGAAGCTATGTGTACAGTGTTTATTTATTTGCACCAATTCTAAAATTGATCGGTAAAAATAGGTAATCATATGTGGTTTGTGACTGTGTTTGCTTCAGACCTCCAGGTGGGGGCTTGTTCTTTGATGTGAGGATGACAAAACCAAAGCCTTCGTTGTCTTTGCGCTGCAGGGTGACATCAAAGCTCTCTGGTCTGGAGAGCTGAGCAGGCTGGATGGTGTTTGGCGGCTCAACGCGAGGCACCTTAGGAGAGCTGTTGATCAGAGCCGAGGACAGCTGCTGAGGCTGCTGACCGCTCTCTTCCTCCTCGCCACCCTCTGAAGAATAAATAAATACAAAAATGAATGACGTTTAATGTCAGTTTAAAGAGAAATTGTTCCCAGTATTCTAAAATAATCCTTAAGATTGTATGTGACAAGACTTTACAATGTGTGTTGATCCTATGGATGGAAAATAGTACACACATATTAACAGAAAATATTAATCATCAGTGAAATTTATCTGAAACCCCCCCCCCCCCCAAAAAAAATCATTGTAGTGAATTAAATGTATACATAATTCCTTCAGATTTCCTATTTTCATATTCAGATGTAATGTAAAAAATGCTGTTAAGGTAAAACAGTATTCTCAAGATAACCAAAACCATCAATGTGACATGTTGAATATCCCCAAACATCTGGCTGGTTTGTTTACATAGGCAATACCATCATGGAGAGAAATATCAGCTGGGTAGCTGTCATCGACACTTTTGTTTGTAGATGTTGGAGCTTGGCCTGTTTTTACTGTTAAGCTCTCTTTTCCTCCTAGGCAAACCGATGGGTTTGGCTTTTACTGTGAATAACTTTATGTGCTCCATTTCATCCCTTTGACAAGAAACTGGCTTTCTTTGACAAACCGAGCCAACTATGGAGCTAGATCACTTTTACATTTTCTAACATATAAATGTTAGAATAGTATCTAAGAATCAGTGCTTCTATGCTCCCTTTTTGAGTCTGCTTCTTTCTCCTTGAACCCCATGTCAGCATCAGCAGATGGCCACTCACAGCGAGCCTGCTTCTGATGGAGGTTTCTTCCTGTTAAAAGGGAGTTTTCCTCTCCCCTGTTGCCACATGCATTCTTGGTGTGAGGGATTGCTTTTGAGTTTATAAGTTGATGCAATCACACTGCAAAAACGATCCAGAAATAAGTAAAAATTTCTAAAATCAAGTGTATTTACCCTAAATTTTAGTAGATAAATAATATGATTTGCCAATTGAATGAGTGTTTTTACTCTTAAAATAAGATAATTAGATAATATGCGCTTGTAATTAGACAATGCAGCTGCTTTTTCTTATTTCAAATGTAAATTATCTTGTTACATTGGCAACGTATTTCACTTAACTCCTCATTTCAAGACAAAATGCACTTATTTTAAGAAAAAATAACTTATTTGGATTTAAATTTTTTTTGCAGTGCAGCTGGTTTTCCTTTGAAAATTTTGAACCAATCTGACCGGATGATCTGATAGGTTTTTCATTTTAAATTGCCTGAAGATGATATGTTGCAATTCAATTCAATTCAATTCAGTTTATTTATATAGCGCCAAATTCACAACACATGTCATCTCAAGGCACTTTACAGTTCAACCAGATCATACAGTCAAATTGATACAAAGTTTTCTATCTAAGGAAAACCAGTTGATTGCATTGACTCATTGACTCAAATACAATCCCCCACACTAAGCATGCTTGTAGCGACAGTGGAGAGGAAAAACTCCCTTTTAACAGGAAGAAACCTCCAGCAGAACCAGGCTCAGTGTGAGCGGCCATCTGCCGAGGCCGACTGGGGTTCAAGGAGACAGAAGCAGAGATACAAAAAGCAGCTGTAAAAGGCGGCCCCGTCCAGGAAACACACAGCCAGGCAGACGAGCTCCAAGGCAGCTCCCATGCCAGAGGACAAAGAGAGCACATCCACTCAGTCACGGTCAGAGAAACAGGACCACACTGGAAAACAGGCCGATCTCCAACATCTATTAACAAGGGTGTTGATAGAAGCAGCACAGCTGATGTTTTTTTCCAGGATGACGTCACAGCCAAACAGGAACAGACGAGGCAAAGCTACTCTGAGGAAAAGCAGAGAGAGCAGAAGGTTAGAGATTGAACTAACAGATTCTGCAGAATAGGAGAACAGAGAAAGAATGAAGCAGAATGATGAAATGGGGGTCCCTATGTCCTCCAAAAGTCTAAGCCTATAGCAGCATAACTATAGAGATAGCTCAGGATAACCTGAGCCACCCTAACTATAAGCTTTATCAAAAATGAAAGTTTTAAGCCTAGCCTTAAAAGTAGACAGGGTGTCTGCCTCACGGACTAAAACTGGTAGTTGGTTCCAAAGGAGAGGAGCCTGATAACTAAAAGACCTGCCTCCCATTCTACTTTTAGAAATTCTAGGAACCACTAGTAAACCTGCAGATTGAGAGCGAAGTGCTCTGTTAGGAACATAAGGAACAATCAGATCTCTGATATAAGATGGAGCTTGGCCATTTAAGGCTTTATATGTGAGAAGGAGGATTTTAAATTCTATTCTTGATTTAACAGGAAGCCAATGAAGAGAAGCCAGGATAGGAGAGATATGATCTCTCTTTTTCATTTTCATTAGAACTCTGGCTGCAGCATTTTGGATCAGCTGAAGGCTTTTAACTACAGTTTGTGGACTTCCTGATAGTAAAGAATTACAATAGTCCAGCCTTGAAGTAACAAATGCATGGACTAGTTTCTCAGCATCACCCCTGGACAGGATATTTCTAATTTTTGCAATGTTCCTCAGATGAAAGAAGGAAATTCTAGAAACCTCTTTGATATGGGATTTAAATGACAGGTCCTGATCAAAAATAACACCAAGATTTTTTACTTTATTATCTGAAACCAGTTTAATCCCATCCAAATGAAGTGACTGGCTAATCAGTTTCTTTTTCAGAGACTCTGGTCCAAAGACTATAACTTCTGTTTTGTCTGCATTCAGAAGCAGAAAGTTAAGAGTCATCCAGGTTTTTATGTCTTCAAGACATGCCTGTAATCTATGTAATGGGTTAGCTTCATCTGGATTTATAGACAGATATAGCTGGGTATCATCAGCATAACAGTGGAAATTAATCCCATGCTGTCTAATAACTCTACCAATTGGGAGCATGTATAAAGTAAAGAGAATTGGTCCTAGCACTGATCCCTGTGGTACTCCACAGGTAACCTTTGAGCGTGTTGAAGATCTATCATTAACATGAACAAACTGAATTCGATCAGATAGATAAGATTTAAACCAGTCTAGTGCTGTTCCTTTAATTCCAACAAAATATTCAAGTCTTTCTAAAAGAATATTATGGTCAACTGTATCAAATGCAGCACTAAGATCCAACAGGACGAGCACAGATACAAGTCCATTATCTGAGGCCATGAGAATATCATTAGTGACTTTCACCAGAGCTGTTTCAGTGCTATGATGAGCTCTAAAGCCAGACTGAAACTCTTCAAAAAGTTCATTATGGTGGAAGTGATCGCAAACTTGTTTGGCAACTACTTTCTCAAGAATTTTGGATAAGAAAGGAAGATTGGATATAGGTCTATAATTGACCAAGTCATCTGGGTCAAGAGACGGTTTCTTAAGCAGAGGTTTAATTACAGCAATCTTAAAAGCTTTAGGTACATATCCCTGTAACAGAGATAGATTAATCACATCTAAAATGGAGGAGGAGATCAAAGGGAATACCTCCTTAAATAACCTGGTTGGAACTGGATCTAACATACAAGTTGAAGGCTTAGATGAAGACAATAATTTTGCTAATTCAGAGAGTTCAACTGGATCAAAGCAGTCTAAACCCGGTTCAGATTCCATGACTACCTCAGGTACAATCGCGGATAGAGGAGTGCTTATGATCTTATTTTTAATAAGATCAATCTTATTTATAAAGAATCCCATAAAATCATTGCTGCTAAGAGCAGGTGGAATGGACGGTTCAACAGAGCTATGGCTCTGGGTGAGTTTGGCAACTGTATTAAAAAGAAATCTAGGATTATTCTTATTCTCCTCTATTAATGAGGAGAAGTATGCTGCTCTTGCTTTACAAAGGGTCCTCTTATACAGCAGTAAACCATTTTTCCAGACTAGGAAGGACTCTCGCAGGCCTGTGGAGCGATATTTTCTCTCCAGTTTCCTAGCATTTTGCTTCAAAGTACGCAGCTCTGCATTAAACCAAGGAGCAAGCTTTCTATTTTTAACAGTTTTCATTTTCAAAGGAGCTGCGTTGTCTAAGGCAATACGCAGAGAACTAGCAACCCCATCAACAAAATCATCAACCTGTGAAGGGGAATAAGCTAAGCTTTTGCACTCTGCAGCACTGCTCAGTGACACAGAGCAGAGAGAAAGTGAAGCAGATTCTTTAAAATTTATAACTGCACTATCTGATAAAGATCTACTAAAATTGAACCTTCTTTTGGGGAAGGAGAACTCGGTTAAAGTAATCCTGAAGGTTATTAGAAAGTGGTCAGAGAGGACAGGGTTGTGAGGAAATACTGTTATTTCTTCACATTCTATGCCGTATGTCAGCACAAGATCCAAAGTATGAAGATGAGAATGCGTGGGACTATTCACATTTTGAACAAAGCCAATAGTGTCTAAGATAGCATTAAAGGCTGCTCTTAAGCTATCGCCTTCAATGTCAGCATGGATGTTAAAATCTCCCACTATGATGACCCTGTCAGTATTTAATACCAAATCAGAAAGGAACTCTGAAAACTCATCTAAAAATTCAGAGTAAGGACCTGGTGGACGATACAAAGTTACAAAAAGAAGAGGTTTTCTTGCCTTGAAATTCGGATCAGGGAAATTAAGGGTTAAATGTTCAAAAGAGTTGTAGGTATTAATTGTTTTGGGAGTAATCAGTAAGTCAGACTGGAAGATTGTTGCTACTCCTCCTCCTCGCCCAGAACTTCTGGGGATGTGAAAATTTAAATAGCTTGAAGGAGTTATATGTTGCACATTGCAGCTATATGATAATCTTAATTGAAATTTATAGTAATATATTTTACAAACAAATTCATGTAGTTTCTTTTAAGTAGTGAATAAGTCTTAAAAAATTTTATGTATTTGAAAGAGAAAAAAAAATTAAACTGCATTTTTACTAGCTGTCTAAATAGACCACAGCCATTTAAAATGAGATCATGATTCACCTCAGACACTTTTTATTTAATGCTTGTTTTGTGATTTTAATCAGGCTAGTCATTTTTTGAAAAACTCAGTTATAAAAGCACAGTGTCTTCATGAAAGATGCTTATTTTCTGCTCAGTCATCATAACAATGCTCCTGCTAAGGCTAAAGAGGCTATTATTGGGTTTAAACCGGCCTTTATTCAGCAGGAGGTATGAGCTGCTGCAAAAGCACTTTAAGAAAACACTTTGAGATGTAAATCAGCCCGGCTTTTTAACGTTATAACAAAGCAACCATCTTCTTTTCAACTTCTCAGAAAATGCTTTCAATATCTTTTAATGAAATCAAATTAAATGCGCTTCTTCCACAAAGGTAGGGAAATTGCACGCAAAGCAGAAAGTCATCTTTTTAATCGAACCTCATTTATTCCAAATTTTTTTTAACAGGGAAGTCACCCAGAGCAAATATAGAGGATTACCGAGCAAATCCCACATCAAAGCCTTCTCCCTGAGGTTCTCCTCCAGCATGCTGATCTAAGGCAAAGGAGGAGATGAAGAAACTGTGCTGCGAGTGCCCTGCGAGGAATGCAGAGCTGATTATCCGCACAGCAGACCTACCTGTGTATGCCAGCTTCCTGCGGACAGTCAGCATGACTTGGCCGTTCCGGGCAGCATTGGTCATTAGTTCCAACACTTGTTTGTGGGATTTCCCCTTAACGGGAAAGCCATCTATGCAGAGCAGCTCATCTCCGGCCCGCAGTCGCCCATCCTTCTCGGCTGCTCCGAGCGGCACAATTGCACCAATGTACACCTGGAGAGGAAAAACTTATCTGAGCAGGAGAAGGCACTCTGATTGGCTGATGTGAGGAATAAAACTGGAATCAAAAGACTGCAAATTTCTGCTTAGATTACTCAATACCCTATATCCAGTTTTTAACTTCTCATTATCCCACATAATTGAGTCTCCCCTATGTGGAATAAATATGCACATGGTCATCTGCGTGATTGGGCAGCGTAACTCACTGGTTGGTCCGGTCCCTCTCCACCCAGGACTCTGAAGCCAAAACCCGACTCCTGGTTTCTTTTAATGAACACATCCAGGTCCTTGGTATTAATAGCTAAAGAAAGGAAAAGCAAATATTCAATGGCAATATTTGTAGTTCTCTGTTTTGGCCACAGGTGGCATTATCACTAGGAAACTCTGTTTTAGTCACTGTACCTGGTACTAAAAGCTTCACTCATTACAAAGTTATTTAATGATCAGTGGTGTGTAAAAACGAGATACAAGGAAGCATGAAGATCTAAGAGGCAAGTTAAAAGAAAACAAAAATGTCCTCAGCTGTGAGACGGCAAGAGAGAGCTAGACTTCCAGCAGGTTACAAGAAGGATAATTGGTGGGGTAAAACCAAGCTGCTATTTTCTGAGCTTTGATTTTGCTTTATCATGGAACTTCCTTAACTATGACATTTTAACAGTCTTTTACAAATGTCATAATTAAGGAAAGGATCTAAACTCTCTAGAGAATACACAAAGAAACTCAAATCTTTAGAATAGAATAGAAAATCTCTCTATTGTCCCACAATGGGGAAATTCTGGTGTTTACAGTGGCAAAAAGATTATAGGCAAAATGGTCACACAGATGTGGACCTTAGAAAAATGTATAAGAATAATATAATAGTGAAGAGTTAAAAGATAAACAATAAAATAATGTACTGTAAAGTGTTTAACAATATAAATACTGTGCACCTGGAGAATAAATAACCAATATACAGCTATAGACATTTTTATAGTAATGGATATTTGAAAATGGCAGCAACATTAGAGATGTGCAAAACGACAGAAGCATGTTATTTAACTGACTAAGGTACAGAGATATAAATACCGCCGTGTTAGATGAGTTATAAGCTAACAGAAGAAGTAAAAGACAACTTTACATGTGAACTCAGCAATCAGTTTGCAGGGAAGCGCAAATTTACAGAAACTACTAAAAATATAAATAATTAGTACCCGCTCTGAGCAGAAAGGATGAAAACTGTTTATTTGTTCTCACTAACCTTTATGAGAAATTTGTATTCTTTTGAAAAATATGAATCTGGAGCCTAAAGAGCTGGACTAGTTCTGTAATAAATAAACTTACGTTTGCTGTCTAAGATAGCTCTGGACTTGAGGTAGAGCTCAGATGGGTCCGGTTTAGGAGAAGATGAGCGCAGGGTGTTGGTGTTGGAGGGCACCTCTGGCTGACTGAGGGGCTCTGCGCTGTTCGTCATTTCCGGCCGCTGCTGCACGGCGAGCTGGGAGGCAGCGTGGGGCTGTTGCTGGGGGACAGAGTGTGAAGCCTGCTGGGATGCAGGGTGAGGCATGGTAGCTGGGGACTGCAAAACAAAAGATTTACAAACATGCATTTCCTCAGGTGGGTAAAACATCCTTTAGTAATGGCACATTTTAGGATTACTTGGAATGTGTACATTTATTATGAGTAGCAGCGACAATAATCATCTCAGTGATTCATATCATAACAGGCGAATTTGAGATGGATTCACTTATTATTCTGTTAGGATGTGCTATTTTGGCTGTGTTTCACCAACAAAGCAGAGTGAGTAAGCCTGTTTCTGCCTCACTGATTTCAAGGTGCACCACGAGCATGGAGGAGCAACGCAGGAACAAGCTGTTGAATGAGGCAGATCATCTTACAACACCCAAACTCAGGGGGATGTTAAGTTTGCTGTTTGAACAGATCTGGTGTGTTTACCCACACGCAGCTCCAGAAATAACAGGCTGGCTAATGCGGGCAGCCTGATTAATACAGTGCTGCTTGTGGGAGGAGAGGCAAAGGAAAAACTGACAAATAAAACAACAATTATAAAAAAAATAAAAAATAAACTAATGAAAAAGGTTTTTTGTTTTATAATACAGTAGGAAACATGTCATCTATTACTTAACAGAAAATGGTTAAAAGCTGCTTTACTTACAGGTTTTAGAGATTTCACCGGAGACGTCTGACCTGTGACAGAGAAGTTAAATTGAAGGTTAAATGCTAATAAGATTGCAAACATCTGCTGTTACACATTTAAGAACACATCAAATGTTAAAATGTTAAAATCATACTAGTATTAGTTTGTTCTTTAGTGGAATCCCACACTTCCTCTGTTCTCACCTTTTGCTTTCACAAACATTTCTCTGGTTTGCTCTTTGAGTCTTGAAACGGGAGGACTGTGTAAGGCAATGTATAATATAACCAGCAGGGGGCAGTAGCCTCAAATATCATTGATGTTTTATGTGTAGCTTTTAGGGGAGGGCCTAGGGAGACCTGGAGCCGTGGGAAAAACACCCACCTCACTCTGGGTGAAACCAGCCACCTGTTGTCATGAATTTAACCCTGCAGCTCTAAAGCTGTTCAGTTTCTGTCATCAATCAGGGGTTTTAGTTGGATTATTAGTAATTGTTTTGTTTTTTTAGTCTAAATCAGCTTCTTCACATTCCTTTCTTTAAAATTTTGGACATAATGTTTTCTGCTTAGAGTTAATCCACCTTGCTCATTTGGTTCACCAGATGCCTGTTTATTCCCAACCATTAATTTACAACGTTGAACTATTGAGGTGTGGATTTATGCTTGGAATAATTTGGATTCCCTGCCTCCGCTGCTCTGCTGCTTGTTCCTTTGTTCCAAAAGCTAATTAATGTATGTTAATATTCCATCTGCTTCCCTCAGTCTGCACATCTGCATTACTTTTTTCCTCCACAGATAGTTAAAGATTTTATTTTATTAAAACATAAGTAGAAATCAGTAAGATTGTTGATGTTAAGGACTATGGGAAGGCGATTAAATAAGTCTCCTTTTTAGACATAAGCAATAATTTATATAAATAATATAATCATCTATCAGTCGTCTCCTGCTTCATCCATCAGGGTCACGGAGGGGATGGTACCCATCTCCAGCACTCTATGAGCGAAAGGCAGGGTCCAACCTGGACAGGTCGCCAGACATTTGCAATAAAACATCATATATGTCCTAAATCTTACATAATGTTTGCATGCTATAAATTTCAAATTTTTTCACCAATCTGTCTGAATTGAACTTATTCATGCATGTTGAACTTTTTAGGCTTTTTTTTATGCAAAATGTTTTTCTCTAGCAGACCTTAGTCCAAGAAAGAATCTGTGCAGAGGGTAGAAAACAAATGTCCACATGTGGTAGCATCCAATTTGACTGAGCTTGAGTAAATCCTTCAGCCTCTGCTTGTTTAACGCTGGCTGACTTGCAGCTGATTCTGCAGCTAATGGTGTTTCTGTGACATATTCATTTCATGCTTTTTTAGGTTATATTGTAAATCCCTTTTAAAACCATGCATCAATTCTCCTTATAATTGTTCACTATTTTGTGTTGGGCTAGAAAATCCCAATAAATTCCACTGATATTAACCTGATAGGGTGTGAATATGTTTTTGAGCTTCATTTTCAGAGTTCAAACTTTCATAAGTCCCTCATTTTTGTTCCATCATCTGTAGTTCTGACTGCTCCTTGAAGCTGAAGCCAATGCTAATCCGACCCTTAAGGGAACCTGTGAGGAACCTAAGCTGCATTTCTTCTTTGATTTTGGGAAAAGCTGTGATCCTTTCCTACTTAAAGTTGTGACACATCCGCAGCATATGCACATGTGCGATTATTGCAGATAGATGACAAACCCTGGGGAGCACAGAGCCCAACCCGGCTGAGTGCATCTGATATGTGGGTGCAGCGCTGATCTCCAGAATCTGGGCTATACTGCACTGCAGCAAAGCCAAAAAAAAAAAAAAAAAAGGAACCCGCCCTTCACATCAGGGAAAGCATGAAGCAAGAAGACAGGCGGTGATTACCCACCACGCTCTGAGTCTCCTGCCTGCTCTTTCTTTCTCTCACGGTAGGAAGTGGATCACTGAAGCTGCCATCTTACCCACCCCTGTATCCCAACACCGCTCACCAGTTTTCCTGTTTGGGAAGGTTCACACTGGATGATGCAAAGCTGGCGTGGACCAGAGCGTGAAATTGCTTTATTAAATACTGTGAGAGTCAGTTTGTTCAAGAAAGGCGGGCAGTGCACTATCCATCCTGTCGTTTATAGTCAAAAACAGTGTACAGAGACTCAGGAACCTTCACCTCTTCTACAGCTGATGGATCTCAGTCATCAGTAACGTTGGCATCCCATCAGGATTTCATTTTAAAAGCAGGCTGGGAATTTAGTTTGTTGTTTTCGCTTTGATGACAGAAAAATGTGTCATAAACACGAGAAACATGAGAATAAGCTTTTTAGTCTTTAGACCATAATTACCTGTTTACTGTCTGAACAGAAAGGTTGAAGATTAACATTCATTAAGATTTCAAAGCCTGTTGGAGCTCTTTCCAGATGTTTACACCCACTCACCTCCTCTAAGCACCAGAACGTTGACCTCGCTGCCCACTGGTAGATCTTTGAGGATGTCCACCACCTGGGTGTGACTCAGCGTTTGGACGTTCTGCCTGTTGATTTCCTTAATGACGTCCCCCTTCAGCAAACCTCGGCACCATTGGGCATCCAGGATCATCTTCACCTTCTGTCCCAGGGGGCAGTCGGCGATGGCGAAGCCGAAGCCCCCCGGCCCTTTTACCAAGGGTACGCTCACCAATTCTGGCTGTAACAGGGTGGGGTCAGGGCCTTCGTGATTGTGGGCTGGGTGAGGATGGTGATGGTGGCGTCCTCCGTTGCTCATTGGTGGCAGGGTGGCAGTTGGCCGAGAGAGGGTTCCTCCATCTGGGGCTGTAAAATGGTGGTCCTGGGGTGTGGTGGAGGAGGATGGAGAGGGGGAAGCTTCCTTTGAGGCGTTGAGCATGGCTGATGCGTCGTTGCTGTTGGACTCTTCTGGCAGGGGGTAGCCTCGACACAAAATCAGGTCCACGTACTGGTTGATTGGGATGGACTGGAACATCTGCACCACGTCGGCGTGAGTCTTCCCCAGCACGCAAGCCCCATTAATGTCTACAATGACGTCACCTAGAAGAAAAACAAGACAGGTTTTATAAAACCACTACTGCGAATACCTTAACACTTTATTTAATCATTACCGATTTCAGCTGCTTACTAGAAGCTCCAAAGTATTTTAATGGCCGCTATCAATGACCACATTGTATGACATTATCCTGTCTTCAAGGTTTTTTTTTTTATATATTTCACAGATAAAAAATTATTAAAAACTGTACAATAGATGTCTTTCAGTTCTCTTCGCCCTGATACCTCTAAATACAGGCCAATTGAGTCTTTTTGGATCTACAGGTGCTTTGTCAGAGAATAATGGTAAATAAACAGCATCATGAGGGCTGTGGAGCAACTGAAACTAGGACTTGGTTTTAACAAAACTCTGTTCAACCCACCACACAAAATAAAAGCCATTTGGAGCAACTAGAAACCTATAAAACATCTCGGTCCACCAACATGGATAGCCTGGCTTCAAGAGACCATCATGACCTAGATGGAAAATGGAGGATTTATATCCAATATCTCCTTTTTTTTCATGGACAAATTGCAAAAAATTTAAATCTAAGTAATTACATAGTCAAATAGTTGCATTTTTCTGTAATTGAGCAGGTATGTGAGACACTTTGCCAATGGGATAGACAATTTACATTTAAAATGAGGAAAAAACAACTCAAGTCTGTCATTTAAGTACATCATATTTAATAATCTTATTTTAAGGGTAAAAATACTCTTTCCATTGGCAGATCATCTTATTTACCTGCTCTAATTAACGGTAAATACTCACATTTTAAGAAATCTTTACTCATTTTTAGGTTATTTTTGCAGTGGCAAACATCATATCTATGTGGAAAGCGTATATGACTAGGAATTATTAAGGAAGCTTTATACAAATGGAGAAAGATTTAAGAATTGCATTTGTTATTTTGAATACCATGTTTAATACTCCCTTCACTACCAAACTATGGTCCACTTTGTGCTGCTATTTGTCGTAAAAAAAAATTTTCCTAAGCAGCAACATGTGTAAGTAGTGCATAACTTGAATACAGAAGCAGGAGGAAGGAAAGTGTAAAACAGAACAAGATCAGTGACATCCTTTAGTTTTCCACCTTGATCTCCCTATAAAAGCTGGAATCCCAGCAACCTTTGCCCTTTTAAAACAGCTGAAATGCTGACGGGCAGTTGGCTAAAAGCCCAGAAGAAGATCCAGCTCACCTACACAATCAATACCTCCCTCAAGCAAACAAAGCTAAAGTTGCACTCCTTAAATTAACTCCATAAACTAACATGTTGGCTCTGACTCATCACACGTTACTCCAGTGTTTTATGTAAAAACATCCCCTAAGACAACTGAAATAAACCCGCAGAGAGCACCAATGCATCACATCCTGGCCTGGATGAATGTGGCAGGTCCAAGGTGTTAGAAAGCAACAGGAAGTTGTTCCAGATCGCTGTTAAAACCTAATGAAATTAATTACATTCATCTTTTGGTACAGTCAATTACCCTCCATCTCCAGGGAAATGAGAGAGTGAAAATAATTACTTTCTCTGTTCCTCGTTGATTTTCATCTGCAGTACTTGCCTGGCGATCGATGTTAATGTTATGTGAATCCTGAAGGCTTTTTGCACACCACTCATTCGAATTACCTCAGTCGCCCTACATGTGATCAAAATGTCCATACACAGATAATAAAAAGGGTCTCCTGGTGAGAATCCCACCTTATTTATGCCAAAACATTACAACACGGTTCACTTAAGATATTCCTGGAGAGCTCATGTAGAGCACACCCAACAACCTTCACAAGTCAGCCAGCCTACAGGCTAATTCAGACTAATTTATGTTTGCATATAAAATCTGACTGTCAGCTATAAACTGGATGCACGTTTTATTGATGAATTCTTGCCTGTATCGCTGATCATAACACCGCCTTATTTGATTAAGCAATGTGACATTCAGTGAGGTTGCTTTGCTTTCTTTCCAAATGTTTTCCTGTGCTCAACATGAAGGTTGAGTAAATAGTGTACAAGTCATATAAACACAACTTGATCTTATTGTACACAGCAAAGATTGATAGAAAAACAAGTACAGCTTTCCAGAGAAATGTGTATTTCCCTTTATTTAAGTAGAATGGAAAGAGTATTTTTTGCATTCAAAGTAAGATAATTAAATATTATGCACTTGAAATAAGATAACTAGCTTGTGTTCTTTCTTATTTTAAGTGTAAATTATCGTATTCTATTACTAATCAAGGGAAAATATAACAATTGAAAGAAAATTTTACTTATACTTGCATTTTTGCAGTGTATTTTTTAAAGTCATCATTCACAGTGCCTAATTATAATAATATATTTTTAATACATCTTATTTAAAAGAGCAACAGAAAACAGTGACCTGTTCAGAATGAAGTGAAGCTGATCTATCTATCTATCTATCTATCTATCTATCTATCTATCTATCTATCTATCTATCTATCTATCTATCTATCTATCTATCTATCTATCTATCTATCTATCTATCTATCTATCTATCTATACATACAGTATATATACCTATATCTATATATCTATATCTACCTGTTCAACATCAAAGTGAAATACACTTAAAAAATACGTTTTTTAAACTATTTTAGATAAGTTTTTGCAGTAACGTAAAAAAAGTTAAAAGTCCAAATAAGTCCCAATTTAATGGTCTTAAAGTTTGAGTCAGGTCACAAGACTCTAATTATTTCTTTTTAAGTCGAACCTGAAGTTTTAAATTTAATGACATGAGTCCAGATCATGGTACCTAAGTCCTGTGGTACCGTGTGCTGCACAAGCACATGGACCCCAATTAAAACATTTTAAACTCTGAATGTTTCATTAAGGCATCAAGGACATTTCTGATCTCTAACTGTTAAATCTCTGCTGTCCAGAATTCATAGAGCATCATTATGGCTGTAAGGAAGGTTACCTGGAGCGATCTTGTTGTCATGTGCAGCAGGCCCGTCAGGAAGGACATTTTTGACCTGAAGGAACTCATCCGGTCGGTCTCCTCCAATGATGGTGAACCCAAATCCCAGAGGGCTTTTTTTCAGTGATGTCTGCAGGATGGAGCCCTGTAGCTGAGAAGGGTCTCGTGTGAAACCACGCAGTCCTCTGGCAGGCTCCTCTTCTGTAGAAATACAGGGTAGAATGGAAAACACATGATGGTAAATTAAAAAGGTGACATTATTTATTGAAAATCTCAATAGTCTCCTCCAGATATAGTTTGCTCCAGACGACCCAAACGTAATGGGAAGGAGGGATGTTTTCCCAGTTTGTTCCATCAACGTTTCCTTTAAGCACACTTTTTAATTGCTTTATAAATTAAGACTCCTGCTGTTGTAGTAAAACTGGAGCAAGGGCTTTAGCTGATACACACTTTAAGACTTTGTTACTCCTCGTCATCATCCCACAAATTTCATCCTGAGAATCATCTTATTAATGGATGCATCCATTTTGTACCGACTGACTCAAAATGTCTCAATGTTTTGAAATCCTTCTGCATTAAACGCCCCATGTCCAGCTTCCCCCTACAGAGGAGCAGTGGGGTAGGGAACTTAACATAATTCCTGCACAAAGATCATAAAAAACTTTCACCTCATTCTAAGGTTACAGTCTTATCAGATCAAATCCCCCCAAAAAACAGCTTTGGAACACATTATTTTTAAATGTCACATATCTCAATACTTCAGAATTTGCTTTCTTTTTTAATATATACATGTATGTTTATTTTCAACTGCTTGTAAAGAACACTTTTATAGATATAGAAAATAATATCAACCAAATTTAGCTGGGCTCATCAAAAAACATTCAATTGCTGCCTTTACTATTTAAAATATTTTAAATAGTAATGTTTTTTTTTAAGTTTTATGGTTAGTTAAGAGGAAAACAAAATGCAACAGATGAAATTGTAATTTGTTTGAGCTAAACATTCCAGAAATAAAACTATTATTGCAGTTTAAAGGCATTATATCTAAATATCTTTTTAAAGTGCAAACGTATTTATTTAATTGGAAGATCATCTAACTTACCCACTCAAATTAAGAGCCAATACCCTCTTTTGAACAAATGTTTACTTATTTTAAGATTCGTTTCGCAGATCTGAAATTTAGCTCCTTGAAAATTGTTAAAACTCATTGCAGTTTTTATTTTTTAAAATTCAGTTTAAAATTAGGTTCTTGAAAATTAATACTCCAAAGCCACAGCAGGTTTTTGTAAATGAAAAAAAAACATCAGATATGAAGAGAAAATTATAAGCTTCTCCTTAATCTTCCATCTATTTTCTGCATAATCAGATTCAAGCAGTGAAAACCTGCCTGACAGCACATCACTCACTGAGAGGAATTATAAAAACAATCTAATAACCCTCCTTTCAGTTCTATTTCATCCCTACTGACCGCCAGAGGGCGGTGCTGAAAGCACTGAATGTTCCCTTCGGGCATGCGCAGTTCGAGTAATTATACCAACAGAGTCACACCTGTGACACCGGATGACCACTCAGAAGCTATATAGCCTGGTGTCATCCTTTGCTCTGCTCCTTTTTTCTTCTCGCAAGCGGTTCGCTAACTTCCCCGTTGTCTGAAGCCCCTGTCTCTTGACCGGAGTTGCGGTTATTCTCCGCCCTCCCAGGGCTGCAACGGGTCGATTCTGAAGATTACGGAAGGTAAGTGAGTTGTTTGCTGGTGATGGTAGCGTCCGCGCCCCCTCTCCCGGCTCACGACTTTAGCTTTTTACCTACAGCTTCGTGCTGTTTTGTTCCGAACTGGTGACGGCAGCGTTTTCGCCCCTACTCCCAGTGTGAATAACTTCACTGCCGAAGTTATATACGGCTAACGTAGTTAGCTTCTTTAGTTTGTTGGTGTTATACCTGGTGACGGCAGCGGTTTTCGCCCCCTCTCCCAGTATATTCCCTACTTTTGCATCCTTTTTTTCACCGGTCTGCGCTGCTATAATTACTGACGGCCGCGGTTTTCGCCCCCTCTCCCAACCAAGTGTGGTCTACTTCGTTGCCGAAGTTGGAGACGGCTAACGTTGTTAGCCTTTTTTGGTTTGTTTGCAGCCTTCTTCATCGGTCTGCTTAATTATAAATGGTGACGGCAGCGTTTTCGCCCCCTCTCCCAATATCAACCTTTTTTTGCAGCCTTTTCGTTGGTCTGCTCTCTTAATTGGTGATGGCAGCGTTTATCGCTCCTACTCCCTACTTAAGTTGCCATACAGCTAACGTTGTTAGCTTTTTTTGTTTATTGCTTTTATACCTGGTGACGGTAGCGGTTCTCGCCCCCTCTCCCGGTATCGGCCGCCTTGTGTCCGCAGCCTCTCTTGTTTTATCCGCTATAATTGGTGACGGCAGCGTTGTTCGCTCCTACTTCCAACTTAAGTTTCCATACAGCTAACGTTGTTAGCTTTTTTGGTTTATTGGTTTTATACCTGGTGACGGTAGCGGTTCTCGCCCCCTCTCCCAGTATCGGCTGCCTTGTGCTCGCAGCCTCTTTCGTTTCTCTGCTGTAATTGGTGACGGCTGCGTTTGCGCCCCCTCTCCCGATTTTCGATAACTTTCTGTTCTTTAAGCCTTGTCGGCCTTCGACATGGATGGCTCTCACAGCTGCATAGATTGTGGGGCTGCCCTGCAGGCAGAGGATGGCCACGACCTGTGCCCTACCTGCCTTGGACATGAGCACCTTTTGGAGGCGCTGTCTGAGAACCCCTGTATGAACTGCAGCTTTATGCCCCATGCAGTGAGGGTGGCCCGGTTGGCCCAGTTGTGCCCCCAGGAGGGCTCGGACAGGTGGTTCCCCCCAAGCGTTCTAAGCGCCGTGGTGGGACCACAGCATCTGTGCCCCTCCCCCGGAGGAAGCGGGCCAAACCTGACCAGGGCCTGTCCACAAGGGTGGAGCAGTTGTCAGCAGAGCTGGCAGAGATGAAGTCCTTGTTGCAGACACGGCAATCTGATCCCTCGCTCCCAGTGGTTGGGCTCTCTTCCCCACCAATGCCCGAGCTGGTTGTAGAGGATGACGTTATCTCTCTGGCTGCCTCCGCTTCTCATTTTAGAGATGAGGAGGAGGCAGGGTCCTCTCAAGCCTCTGAGGCTGGTTCATTTTCATCTCAGAGTGCGGTTGGAGAGGCCGGTGACGGTTCCATGCAGGAGGTCATGTCTATGGCCCTGAAGCAGCTGCAGCTGGAACTCCCACAAGGAGAGGCATCCAGCTCTGGCAGTGCTTTTTTCAGACGTGGAAGGGCTCCTACTCCTTTTTCTGTACCTCCATCAGAGGAGTACCTGAAGGAGTTACACGCCTGTTGGCGGGAACCGAGAGCGCTGTCGCGTCTCTCCTCGGATGGTCGTGTATTAGCTGCCATGCATGAGTCAGTGAAGGCCGGCCTGGACCGTATGCCAGCAATTGAACCAGCTGTTGCTTCACTGATTGTGTCACCAGATGAAGCCCTGCGTCCTGATGTCCGGTGCCCGCGGACTCAATGTCGGGTTACAGATGACCTCCTCTGTAAGGCGTACAATGCAGGAGCGCGTGCTGGCCGCCTTGGCAATTCCCTGGCGCACCTCATGTTTGCCCTGTCTGCATCTGTTCAGGACACTGGTGGTGCAAGTGCGGCGATTGGTTATAGTGACGCAGCGCTGCAGGCCTTCGCGCTGATGACCAGAGAGCTTGGACGGGTCATGTCTTTCCTTGTCCAAGCTCGTAGACAGGTCTGGTTGGCACAGTCTCCTCTGACTGAAGCATGCCGTAGGACCCTCAGGGGTGTCCCGGTTGTACCAGGGGAGCTGTTTGGATCAGCTGCCTTGGAGGCGCTGGAACGGACTGCTCAGGCACGTCAGACTAGCCAGCAGCTTTCCGGCCTTCGCAGGAGCATACCTGCCTTTCCCCAGCGTTCGGGCCGCCCTGCCACTACCCCCAGCGTTCAGCCACGACCTCAGACCGGTGGCAGACCTGTTGGTTCCTATCCCCATGATGTGCGGCAGAGACCGAGAAGGGACTTTCGTGAGCCAGTCTGCCGCCCTGTTAGACAGACCCGGGCCTCAAATCCTGGACGCCCTCCCCCCAGAGCCCCCAGGGGCCGTGGGGATAGAAGATGATGCCACCGGGCCAGCCGTCGGACATTTTTCCCATCAGCAGCTGAATTTCTGGGCTGCTCATGCCGTAGATCCATGGGTGGTTGCCACCTTAACCAATGGCTACAGGCTCCAGTTCCGACGGCGGCCCCCCCTCTCACACCGGGTCAAGATGACTGTCATCACAGACCCGGTGAAATCTCAGGCACTAGACCAGGAGCTTTCCGCCCTCCTGGGCAAGGGGGCAATCGAGTCTGTAGATCCTCTGCAGCAACCCAGAGGCTACTACTCCACATACTTCCTTGTGGCCAAGAAGACCGGCGGTTTTCGCCCCATTTTAGATCTAAGGGGACTGAATCGGTACCTGAAGGTCCTTCCCTTCCACATGCTCACCATAACAGAGGTCCTTCAGACCATTGTGGCGGGAGATTGGTTTACATCAGTAGATCTGACAGACGCCTACTTTCACGTGCCTATTGCGGCAGAACATCGCCGTTTTCTCAGGTTCGCCTATCGGGGGCGCCATTGGCAATTCCGGGTGCTCCCATTCGGGCTCTCCCTTTCCCCGAGGGTGTTTACTCGATGCGTGAAAGCAGCCCTCTCTCCTCTACAGGCCTCCGGAGTCAGGATTCTGCCATACCTGGACGATTGGCTTCTTTGTGCTCCCTCTCAGGTAGCTGCCTCTCGGGATACGTCCCGGCTTCTACTTCATGTGTCAATGTTAGGCCTCAAAGTCAACTTGGCAAAGAGTTGTCTGGTTCCATCTCAGACAACCACCTTTCTTGGGATGCATCTGGACTCTGCTACCATGATGGCCCGTCCATCTGTTCACAGGGTGGACGACATACTCCAGCTTGTCCGTCGATTCAGACTGGGCAGGGAGTTTCCCTACATCACCTTCCTGCGAATGCTGGGCAAACTGACATCAGTCACTCGTGTCGTGCCCTTAGGGCTGCTCCTTCTGCGTCCTTTGCAGCGATGGCTCAACAGCTTTCGCCTAGACGCCAGGCTGCACAGGCATCACAGGCTAATGGTGACCAGGAGCTGCCTCCATGCCCTAGCTCCTT